TGCCACAAAAAAATATAATTTTGATCACATTTTCTTTAAATACCTACTTAGATGTTTAATGGGAGTAATACCCTTTGAATAAAATCTCTCCCATTAGAATCTATGTAAAATGTTTTATTGCTCTTCATGGTGGTTGTGATTTGAGTTACCATTTCTTTCCCAACTCCATCATCAACAGGTATGGGGCCCACCTGAAAAACTTGAGATTATCAGTAATGAACAACAATTAGACAAGTAAAGAAAATGAACTTACTGTAAATTCCACTTCAACATGCTCCTTATTCTTGAACACTCTAGTGATCTGGATAGAAGGGTAAAATGGTCATTTCAGACAATTCAATTAGTCCAACAAGGAAAAAAAATGAGTTCATATAGCACTACTTTATCCATTACCTGGTAAATACATGGATTTATTTTCTGATGTACTTCATCATATATTGGCCCATTCAAGACCTTTATGGGAGTCTGTAATTTCAATGAAGAATATTAAAATTTAAATCTGGCTATAAAGTATAAACTATAAGACACATAGATATATCAGAAGAAATTATATAATATATACCTGCTCCTGTGTATCAATAGAATATGTACCATTTGGATGGAAAATATATGCTCCAGATGCCTAAATTAAACAAGTTAGGAGCTCAATTGCTAATATAAAAAACTTGTACCAATAACTGTATTTACAAAATAAAAAAATAAAAATAATAAATGAGATAAGGAAAATAAAGTTACCTGCTCTCTTGTAGTTCCATCAAATCCAGCATAAAAGTTGTATGATTGCTTCACAGAGGCAGTGATCTTTCATAAACCAAAATAACACAGGTTAGTGCACATTAAAAGAATAAATAACAATACTAATAATAATACATAACTTAACTTACTATATTTTATATAACGTCAAAAAATAGGTTCATTTTTGCTAATTTGGGTGATAAACTATTTTATTTTCCAATTAGGTCATTAGCAAAAATAAGATAGTTGGTTGCTATATTATACAAAAAAAATGAAAGGTAAATATACTTACAGAGCTTCGACTGTTAACATATTGAGAAACCTTTCCTTCACTTCCAGAATAGATTAACTTCAAATTTCCTGTTCCTACTTCTATCCCATCTTTTCCTGTTTTAGTATGCTTGTAAAATGCTTCATTTACAGAATTCCATGCTGCAAAAAATAAATTATATCACTAGATAAATTCTATTCAAAATTCGAAAATCAATGTATATTATGTAAAATATTGTTAATTTTATTCTTACCTGGCTTTTTTGTGCTTGAAACGACGTATGTGGTAAATCCCAGAGGTGGAACAGATGCTGTAAATGCAAGTTAATACTTGGAAATTGAGCTTGGTGATTTGCCTGTATATGCAGTGGTGTAGTAGTTTCTAAGGGCAATAGCGTCATTTACTATGGGGAGAAGTTGATACTCTACTTCTTTTCCATTCGAGTCATGGACAGCAATATTCTCGCTCACAACCTGTTAGATATTCACATATAATACGCATAATATATTATTATTGTTATTATTCTCCCAAAAAAGTGATTAAGATGCAACCAAAAGTTCAAAACCTAAAATGATACTCACTGGAAGTCTTATAACATCAGATCTCTTCCACCCTCGGGAATTGTAGACAACAACCACCTACAATATAAAAATCAATATTCCATATTTCCATTTCACATTTATGTAGATATATAGAATATAATAGTTTTTGTTGACTTTCATGAAGAAGATAAAAATATAAAGCATCTCATTACCAATTTTTTGCCAGATGATAGATTCGTTTCAGTTGGAGGGCAATAGCTTATGGCAATGATCTTGTAGTTGGCTTTATCTTTGGGGACACCCCACTCTCTGTAAGGTAAATGTCTTCCATCATTAAGTTGGATTCGAGGTGAAGTAATAGGAGGTCCACCAGGTGATCCAAAAACCCTAGGAGGTGGTGGTTTGATTCGTGTATAAATCCATCCTAGAAAAACACCGACCACAACAATTGCTACCTTTGCAATCATTGCTACATAGAAGAAGAAGAAGAAAACACTGTAAGAACATGTAAGTATGGGATTGAGCTATTCCAAGAAATTTAATTTGGTTATGTTGAATATATTTGATTTTCTGATAGAATTCTAAGTTTTACAGAGGGATGTGGGTTCTGTAACTACAAACATGTTTTTGAACTTTTGATTCCTCTTTCTTATAATTTTTAGAAACTCGTATTAACAACTAATTGCAGATCGGGTTTACAGAAAGGATTAAAATACCTGGAAAAAAGTACAGAGCATGAGAAGGAAACAACCAAGAACGCTTGCTTTCCAACGCCATCATCTTCTTGCGTTGTCACATAATGCTATTAGGGTTTCATCTGCAATTTATTCTTGAACAACTTCTACTTCCTTAAATTTATTCAAATCAAAGTTGTTAGGTGTGGACTATGAGGCAAGAAGAGGCGGTGAGGGGCGGAGACGGTGGAGATGAACGAGGGGATATGTGAGATAACTGATGGAAACAAGGTAGAAGAGAAGCTCATGAGTAGTTGTAGTAGGTGGAGTAATGTAGAGGGGAAGCAGATTCGGGACACAGTCGCCGGTGCTGATGAGTCTCAATGGTCGGCGATTAGAGGTGAGCCTGCAGTTGCCAATGAGGTGAGGTGAGAGAGAGCAAGGTAAGGAGACGCTAATCAAGTCGTCGATTACAAAGTGATCGTGTGGAAGGAGTGGTGCGTAGAATCTACATATGAAGGCACTGAAGAAGGCCGATGGATGAGGAAGACGATGAAAAAGATGCAACGTTGGTGGAGGGTCAACAATGGAAGAGGGTCGACGACCAGGAAAGAGCTCAAAGTGGTGGTCGGAGTGTGAGGGGAGTAGTTAGCGGTCGATGTGGGGAGCCAGGGATGGGAAAGAAGGATCACCGATTAGGGTAAAGAGGGAAGCGAAAGCGGGTTTTTCTAATTTTGGGGTTTTTCTTTTTCCCGCTTGTAACTAAAGAGCGCGTTTCATTAAAAATTATAAAGCGACATGTTTAGATGACACGCACATTTAATAATAAGTGCCCTCCATGTTTTTTTTTCTAACACTAGTTTTACGGCACGCCAAATTACGCGTCTTAAATTCTTAAAATTTCTAGAGAGCTGACATTATTTTTAGGTCACATGCTTTTGCGTATTATAAATCACAGCGTGTCATAAATTGCGCGTCGTTAAAGGTCTGTTTTCTAGTAGTGAAGTTCATGATACATTGCTCCAACTTTTGATACTAAGCGGTGTTGTAAAACTCGGACTCGACCTCTTACTGAGGCGAGTTAAACCAACTTGGCCAAATAACTTAGAACTCGGTCAACCTCGATTAAAATCGAACCAAATGGGTCAAACTCAAACCAACTCGGTAAGACACGGTCAAATTGTCAAGATTGATTTAAAAAGAGAAAAAAATCAAGAATTTCAAGATTGATATATATTGTATATTTTATCTTGCATACTAACCCTAAAACTAAAGTAAGATACCAGATAAGATAAATAAATTGTATATGCTTTCCTCTCTCTCATTCTCATCTTCAAGATTTTCATGATTAAAATATTTACTTTTTTGAACAAGTTTAAGATTCAAACATTTATCCTTTTTATTGATATTTCACAAACTTTGTTATAAATTTTATAAACTTTTGATTTTTCATATATATATTTTCCCCAAAATTAATTTCTATATAAAATATAGAAATCCTGAGTACTCCCTGCCTAGGCTGAGTACTCGCTACTCCCCAGTCGACGGAACGCATACCGCATAGTGAGTTCCACAATATTGATATTAAGTATGACTAGCGGTGACATGAAGATTACAAGTGAACTTCAGATAGTTGAAGCATGTCTAATATATATTATGGAAGCTTAGATATGGAGTTTATAAAAATCATTGATTTGGAAATCTTAAGGATCATATAAGTTCACTTGTTTTAAAATGTATATTGACCTTATATTTGGGAATCTTAAAGTGAGGGGTAGGATAATGCGAAAGATGGCACTTCAAGTCTTCGACACAAGAATAGGAAGAACATAACTAGATTGTGTATACGGTATGTATGGAATCACAAGATATTCAAAACACGGTATATAATAAGTATATGTACATCAAGTAACTACCAAGTTGATAAGGATTATAAATAACGATTTTATAGCAGTTAATGGTTGTTACAAAACTGTTTTTGGATAGTTAAAGTTGACTTGCCTATTTTTCGATGGACATGCTAATTACTACCTTGGGAATTTTTCTGTGGTTTGTCATGGTTAGCCCCAAAATTGGCATTGTTAGTATTTACCAAAAATTATGTAGGTAATTTTTTTCACAAAGCACATCGGTGTAAGTTTATTTTTTGAAAGAAGAATTTTCTAGTATTTACCAAAACAACACGTGTAGATTTTAAGTAACTTTGTAGCATAAACCGACTGTGTCGCTCATCATCATCGTGTCAAACTAGCTAGCCTTATACAAGTTTCATTGTGTACTAACTGGACTATACGAGCATCCACAATGCAAGTATTAAAAGAGTTGAAGACGATGACTAAGATTGAATAAAAGTTGAATGTAGTGTGGGTAATGACATTGAATAAAGTTGAATGATCATTGAATGGTTCAATAAATGGAATAAAGTGGTGATTATGATTGAATAGGTGTTTAATGGGTTCTGGATGTTTTGGAATAAAGTGGTGATTAGGATTGAATAGAGTTTAATGAATTGTGGATGCGTAAAGGTCCAAGTCTAAAGCCCATTGGAACTTGTGTAAACTCCAATTACACAAAAACTACCAGGACACACTATAAAAAACAACAAAGCCACTGAACTTGCTATTATCATGTGGAAATGACTAAAATGTACAAAATGAGGATATTCATTGAACCATGGATAACATATATTCATAGACCAAGCATATGCACATGCTTTCTATCTAGCATATGATAGTGTTATATATCATATATTTATTATGCAACGAAACAGAGTGATAACTAACGAAAACTTTCTTGCATGAAAAAAGCAGGTTCCTTTGGTGGAGGCAATGCGCCCTCACTAATTAACATCAAAACCACTGACAACATAGTTGGCCTATCTTCTGCATGACGTTGCACACACAATAATCCAACATGTATTGATCGTAGTACTTCGGATACCACATATGAGCCGTGTAAAGATGCATTCGTGAGTTCAATGGACTTGTCTTCCATATAGAGTCTCCATGCCTGAATTAATGAAATCGAACATCATATATATAAGGACAATGGATGATAATGTTAAAGAAAACACTAGGTCTAACTTACATGTCCAAGAAGGTTGTCACTATGACCCTCATGAGTGAACCCTCTGTTTTTCTTTCCGCTCACTATCTCCAACACAAGAACACCAAAGCTAAATACATCCGACTTTGTCGAAAAATGTCCATGTACTGCATACTCAGGAGAAATGTAACCACTGTAGCCAAGTTCAGTTAGTAAACACATATCAAAAACGAAATTCCATCTAACTATAATCTAGTAAGCCATGTTTTATAGATTCTTACTATGTCCCGACCACCTTCTTCGTCATAGCCATGGCATCGTGTCCATTGAAAAATCGAGCAAGCCCAAAGTCAGATATTTTTGGATTCATTCCATCGTCCAACAAGATATTACTTGCCTTGAGATCTCGATGGATGATTTGAAGGCGTGAATCTTGATGTAGATACAGAATTCCACGAGCTATACCATGTATAATACGAAAGCGTTGAGTCCAGTCAAGCATTGAACTTCTGGTTTCATCTGTCCAATATGAACTATTTAATTAGTCCATCCATGTTGATGGTTGCTATGCTGATATCATTACTACAAGATGTGAAAGTAAGGCATTAGATAGAGAACCAAATAGAAATGTGTCCAAGCTTTTGTTATCCATGTATTCATAAATTAAAATCTTCTCATTTCCATGAACACAGTATCCAATGAGCTTCACAAGATTCCGATGCTGAAGTTTGGCGATACAAAGGACTTCATTAGTGAACTCATCAAGCCCTTGTTCGGATGTACCGGAGAGCCGCTTTACCGCTACTACTTGCCCATTTCCCCAAACACCCTAAGAGATGAATATAAATGTATTTTTCATTCATGATAATGACAAAATTTCTTGCATTTTATTCAAAGAAAGTCGGTAACTTACCTTGTAAACTGAACCAAAGCCACCTTCTCCAATCTTATTATGAATGCTGAAGTTATTGGTAGCCTTAGCTATTTTACGTAGGCTAAGGAAAGGTACCTGATCATCTAGGTTTTCCATCTGAACTCGTGTCTTATCCTTATCATGGGGATGTGCCCAATTTCCTACATTAAGATATGTTCATTTACAAGTTAATTACATATCTAACAAAAATCACATACATACAAACTTCAAATTTTTAAGGATGCTTCTCAATGTTGTTTTTCATTTCTTGAAACATAAAAATCAATTTGTTATTTTACCTTGGCGTTTCTGGTGAGACTTTTTCTTAATCTTTCTACAGGCATATGTTACCGCAGTTACAAGCAGTACAACTAAAGAAACTGACAGAACCACACTGATCAGTACTCCGTTCTTGTAGATGCTGGATTTGCCTGTTGTTAATCAAGACAATCGTTAGTAAGGTTGCACTGCAAAGATAATTAATGGTTATAGCTTTTAAAACTAACTACATTCTTAAACAAGAAAAATATGAGCATCAAGATTCTTATATGTGACTGTTGGTCTGTAAAATGTTCCCTTAAAAGTTCATTTAAATCCTTATCTAATGCATGCATAATTAATAAGGATATATAAGAACATAATAAGATTGTTAGAATTTACAAAATAGTCCAATTCAGGTTTAAATGTTTGTACCTGTTAACCCAGATGCTGCTATTTTTATGTAAAGTTCTTGATGATCATTATAATCTCTTATGTCCAT